TTTTTTTTTTTTTTTTTTTTTTTTTTTTTTTTGATTTAATAATTCAAGCTTGGAGGAAAATTTTCAAAAATCCAATTTTCCTAGCGTTTTCAACTCGACTGAAGATAGATTACCTACCCCGATCTCTGGTATAATGACCCGAGCAACTTTATAACTATTTCAGTCCAATTGAGAATAGATTATACTGATCGCTGATGCAATGATCGAGGCAATTTTGTGATATATCTAATGTGTTATTATCTTTTTGGTTTTTCAGATTCAGTTAGGCGGTGAATTATAAGGAATCTCTACTGAAGATCTCGTTTACATACAACGGAATTCGATGAAGGAGAAGTAGTGAGGTTATTATCATTGACATAGTGGTTGTTACTATACTACTATTACTATTGCTGTTAATAAAGGTTAGAGTTGGAGCCTCGGGTAGCACAGCCAATGAAAATTTGATGATGGATCATATGAGAATTTATTCCTGCTGAAGTTCAAGATGTTCAGTATCAGAGAAGTTTCGATGGCCTTGAATTTAATATCTAGCTACTAAGAAATCTAGGATCCTGGATAGATATGGTATGTTAGCTTTGTAGTGAATCTCCCAAATGGGATGTGATCTGGTACCAGTTGAATATTATCTTGAGGGTCTTGAAGGAATGCTTTTGCATTCTCTGAAAATTCAGTAGGAGCGTTTTGGAAACACAGAACCAGAAGTGTACCGTCATTACCGACTTGATTTTGTATATTAGTAATTTAAGCTCTTGGTTCAAAACTGAATACTGACTTATAAGGATAAAAGGCAGCGATCGCCCTCAAGGCTTTCTTTCGTCTATCCAATATTGCTATACCCCATTGTAGTCAAATATCATATTTGATTCCCTGGTCCATGGCACATATACTGATTATTAACCATAATTGGAGGAATTGATTTCATTAAGTGTTTGGTATTTCTGATGAATAGTATTACTTGAATCTTGCATCTGTTAGGATAATGTTTAGGGTAAATTTCTTGAAGAATCTTATTATAAAATTGAGATAATTTTGCAAATATTCTGCTATTTTTTAATTTTAGGTAATTATAAGATACACTCAATATCGTAGTATCATCAGCAAATAGAGCCAGCGAACTTTCAATGCAGGATGAATTGATATATAATAGAAATAATAATAGAATTGAATCTTGAGAAATATCAATCCTTATTACTTTTAAACCAGATGTATACTTGTTGCATAAAAAGAATCTGTTATGTAGGTAAACATGTAAGAATTTGATTAGTCTGGGATAGAATTTGAGTTTGATTAATTTATATATTAATCCATACTGAATTTATATATTAAGCCATACTGAATCAAAGGCCTTGTTTAAGTCTAAGAGGACCATATCTCAATCTGTTTGTATCTGTTCTTATTATGGCAGTGATATTGAGACCTATCAACTAGTGAG